GATGAACTAAGATGAGTGACAGCTTTTAATGATTTTTAAGGGAGTTTGTAAATGTGATACTGATTTAATACAATACAATTCAATAAACAAGAAGTTAATATTAAGTGACTTACATTGTCTGACTATAACACTATTGTCTGATTTTGCTCTATTTCGTCGTCAAAAGTAGTTTAAAACAAAGATACAGCGGACCCGCTGCACATCTCCATTCAAACACAGTGGTGTTTCGTTTATGAATGAACGGGCGTTTTTAAACGAATCTAGTGAGTCAGTGATTCATGATTACCCATTCAGAAAGACAGTCACTTGATTCATTCCTAAATGAATCAGCTGTTCGAACGAATCAATTATTGTCTGATTTTGCTCTATTTCGTCGTCGAAAATAGTTTAAAACAAAGACACAGCGGAGCCGCAGCGTATCTCCATTCAAACACAGCGGTGTTTCGAATGAACAGCTTTTTTTAAATGAATCTAGTGAGTCAGTGATTCATGATTACCCATTCATAAAGACAGTCACTTGATTCATTCCTGAATGAATCAGCCGTTCGAATGAATCGATTGAATGAATGATTCAGTGATAAAAATCAGTGACTTACCGCCACCTGCTGACAGTTTTAGTTTCATTTTTAAAGTATCTTTTCAGTTATTTAAATCATTTAATATTTGTATTATTGTATATTTAAAACATTAATATCATCATGAATTTATGGATTTAATTGCACTCATTCCACTTCTGAGCCTCATTAAATGTTTGAAAGTACACCTACACAAGCCACTTTTGTGTTCTTCAGTGCCACCTCTACAAATTCATTTTGTTAATACTGATTTCATTTGATTGGTAACTTATATTCCTTATTCTACTTGTTCTTATTCTGTCGTTTTAATTAAAATTTTAAGTTTTAAAATTTAATTTTAAAATTAAGCTTATAAAATATAATTTTTTAAAGAATTTGACAAAAGATGACATACTTTTAATAAAGTTAGAGGAGTCAAATATCACCTCGTAATGGGAAGGCTACTTTTTGATAAAATTTTGGATAATTGTTTAGAAGGTCCTTGAGGTCCAGCTGGAACATATGCTCTCTTAGACCGTCAAGGAAAGCAAGGAGGAGCATAGTGTTATAGGGTCCTAGAATGGCATGACGGTGGAGTACCCCTCGTTGACTGATGGCTGCGAATTCCCTCCGCGCTGACCAGGGACATTTACAATAGCCCGATGGCCAATTATGTTCCTCCCCCTTCTCCTTCTTTTGGTCAGGTTGAAACCAGCCTCATCCACAAAGATAATTTCATGGGGAACAGGCTCAATCAGAAAGATTCTCTGCAAAACACATGAAACACAGTAGAGTAAACCCCCCAAAATTTCACAAATCACGTTTTCAGGGGAGCCCATGTCTTATTAAGGGGAGCCGAGCTCCCCCTAGCTCCCCCGTAGTTCGCACCCTGTATATATATACACCTTGCTACGTGTACTGCATTAGGCTAACCGAGACTTGTCATTTGCACTTAGATATTATTGCTCTTTTGTTAGTTTTGACTGCTTTTATTGTCCTCATTTGTAAGTCGCTTTGGATAAAGGTGTTTGCTAAATGACTAAATGTAAATGTAATGTTTTCAGACGCTCAGAAAGTTTGTGATGTGACTGAGACTTCATCAGTGGCTGTGTTGATGTCAAAGGATCATCTGGATCACCTCCAGACCAGCAGCAGCCAAACAGATCCCCTCCAAATACATCCACCGTCTGACAGAAATTCAGGGATTCACTGAGCCTCAGAAGGAGGAATATTTCAGGAAGAGAATCAGTGAACAGCATCAAGCCAGCAGAATCATCTCACACATCAGAAGAGCAAGAAGCCTCCACATCATGTTCCACATCCCCGTCTTCTGCTGGATCTCATCTACTGTGCTCCAGAAGCTCCTGGAAGAAGAATTCATCAGAGGAAAGTCTACAGCTTCATTCATCTGAGCGTTCAGGAGTTTCTCGTTGCTTTCTATCTGTTTCACTGCCATCTGACAAAGAATATGGAGCCATTGCAGGACATTAATGAAACATACAGTTCTGAGGAAAACTCTTTGTATGATCTACTAAGATCAGCAGTAGATAAAGCCCTTAAGAGTGAGAATGGTCAGCTGGATTTATTCCTGCGGTTCCTGCTGGGCTTCTCACTGGAGTTCAATCAAAGACTCTCACAGGATCTACTGACACACACAGAGGAGAGTTCAGAAAGCATCAGACAAATCACACAATACATTAAAGACAAGATCAAGAAAAAAGACTATATCATGAAACTCTCCACTGAAAGATCCATTAATCTGTTCCTCTGTCTGCTGGAAGTGAAAGATCAGACACTGTCCAGAGAGATTCAGGAGTTTGTGAAATCTGGTAAACACTCAGAGAATGAACTCACTCCTGCTAACTGCTCAACAATCGCCTACATGCTTCAGATGTCAGAGGAGCCGCTGGATGAGCTGAAGCTCATGAAATACAACACAATAGATGAGGGTAGAAGAAGACTGATACCAGCTGTGAGCAACTGCAAGAAAGCTCTGTGAGTATTCATTCATGTCATCATATAAGAAAGTCTGCACTTGAGGCTCAAACTAATCTACATACCTGTCAATATTTGGGTCCCAAAATACGGGAGACGGGACGGGACAGGGACGGGGGGGATTAAAAGTATCAATTATTATATTATATTGTTATGATTATATTAATTTATTATATTAATTTTAACAATTATAATCAATCAAATCAATAAATTATTTAAACTGCGTGTATATCAAACTGCGTGTTTTCTGCATAAAAATAAGGGTCGTTTTTGGCTTTGGACTAAAACAAAAAGCAGAATGGCTTATTGAAAAATGCAAATTCATTCTCTCTTCATTCTTTCGCTTTTTGCCAGGAATATAGCCATTTCCCCGGTAACCGCAGTAAACAAAGCAGCGCAGCACCTGATTTTGCAACTTACAGCGCTCATATTTAATCCATT